TTATCTTTCCGCAAACAATCTTGTAAAATCTGTATTGATCTTCTTTATCAATATATATTTTAAATTTGAAAATTGTGTTTGTATTCATCCCCCCCCTTCTACAACCTGTTTAGTATTCTTGTAGACCCTTTTGGGACCAACACTTACCGAATAAATTTTTTTACCGGATGAATATGACAAGGGCCAAGAATTTTACCGGGTAAGAGCGATGAGAAAGATGAAGAGTCTTATCCGGTAAGTGAAGATTACGACTCTTACCCAGGTAAGCGCTTACCCGGTAAATTGTTGCATTCAATACGTTTTGATGTATTAAAATCTTACTCATCAAAATAAATTATAGTGTTAACTCCTATAAGTAAGCACTTACCAGGTAAACAACCCCTAAATCTTACAAAACATCAAAAGAATGCAATAAAATGTCGAATTATAAAATCCGAGGATGTTTATGTAATTTTTGTGTTAATGGAAGGGGCCAACTATAATTTTCAAAATATTTAAATGATTAAATCATGAATAAAAATATATTTTCAGAAATCAAATGGTTATTTTATGAAGTTCACGGATTGTTTGTTAATTCGAAGAAATTTTAATTATTTAGAATATTTTTAACAGATTTTTATAATTGCTGTAAAATAGAAAACCAAAAGTTAAATTTTTTAAGAGGAGTTATATTGCAACAGATAACAAATTCTCTATTTCAGATATTTCAACCTTAATTATATTATTAAAATATTTTTTAATTATATCCTCTCAATATACTTTAAAAAAAAAACTTTATATAAAAAAACTGATAAAATAACATTTATATCTCTTACTAGAAGTTTCATATAAGTCTATATACGTAGAGATTTCTCTATCTTAAATAATAAGATATAAAATCTATTGAAGAAATATAGAAAAAAATTGTGTTAAGAGATATTCTGGATGAGACATAAACTTACTGGGTAATAGCTTGCCAGTAAAATTAACATTATCATTTTACCGAGTAAGATTTTAGTCCAAGAAAACGGCATCGCATGCATCAATTTTCCCGGTAAGCGCTTACCGTGGTAAAACTCGTTGCCCTCACTTACTTTGTAAGACTCTTGGTTTTTGTCTCACTCTTACCAGATAAAATTCTTGATCCTTACCGTATCTATCCGGCAAGGTATGACTTGGTAAGTGTCTTACCCGGGTAAACATTTGGTAAACGACCCCTAACATATGTTTATTTTGTAAGAAGAGATGTTGATCAAGAAAGGAAGGGTTTGCTCGCTGATTCAATTAGTGTTTTGATTATTGCTTATGAAACACTTGTTAAACAATCGTTTTCACTCGATGTTTACTCAAACTGACACCTATTATCCAAGTTATACTTTTATTCGATCAACATTTATCCGATTTGTGTTCTTTATATTACCGAACTAATTATGTAAAATTATAACTCTACGGATTTTCATCCACCTACTTCACTTTCGTTGATCGGGTCCAATATCTTTCACTTATCTATCACACTCTAGATGGTGTATTCAACCCACTTCATGGTCTTGGCCCAATTGGTTAGGCCCATATCCATAAAAAAAATGGATCATGGACGGTTTCTTCCTTTTCGAGAAGGCCAGAAACCAACCCACAACACAATTCACAAATCCATCGTCATTTATATCAATTCAAGCTAAATTTCGACACTTTTAGTCGATTTTCTTGCTAGAATTAATTCATCCCTGAACCATTTATACTAATATTAGGGTTTAATTTGGGTAGAAGTAAAACAAATAGCGTGTTTAATTTGTGCGTAAATCAATGGTTGTAGGGCCATTGTTAAATTACGTAAGGTCAACAGATCGATTATGTGTTTGGTGTTAGGACATGACGGGATTGGACAGAACAAGATAGAACAACTGTTCAATGTTTGCTAAGATAAAATTAGACAAAACAGAACAAGTAAAATGACCAATTTACCGCTGATGAGTTGTTTATTTTAATTAATTTATGTATTTTATTAAATTATAATAGAATAATTATTTTTTATAACAAAATATATCATTTCATGTTTTCGTCAAAACAATTAAAATGACACCAAATAAAAAGTTTATGTAAAATTCTATTTTTATTTTTATCTTTTCTCTACATTATTTTGTTATTATTAATATATAATAAATTACATAAATTAATAAAAATATAGAAACCGTATAAAAATAATATTTTGAGGACCGTAAAATGAAAGTTTAAACATAAAATACAATAAATAAAATTTAAAGAAAGAATAAAATGTAAAAAAGAGACTTATTTGATGTTTTAGAAAAGAATTAAATTTTATTTTGAAGTTGTATTGATAAAATATAAGTTTGTTCCACCTTGTTCCACCCTGTTCCATGGGATAGGGGTGGAACATGTCTGTTCCACTTTGTTTCACTCTATTCCTGTCTCTTTCACATAAAATTCATGCCAAATATGGGATATGAATCTTTATCCCGTTCTGTCATGTCCCTGTCCAATATATCAAACACACCCTTAGAAAACAACAATTTTAATATTGAGTCGATTGCAAACCTTGATGAAATTTTCTTTCAATAATTCTAAGGATTTTGTGTGATTCAAACGCTATTACAACCCCTAATGGAAACGCATAAAAAAAAGTCACCAATTTTGGCATTAAAATCTCAGTTTTCAGATGGTTTCCATAACCCAAAGATTCTATTTCTTGTCTTTGATTGATTGACAAAACATCCCCTCTTAGTTTCTGTTTTGTCATTTCCACCCCCAACAAAAGTATTTCATTTACTTCCCCTCCCATTACCACGTTATATGTATATATTTTGTATACTTTTTAGCACAAGTTGACCGATCCTTGCCTCCTGCGCACAAACTATCTATCACGGAAACTACAAATTGAAGCCATTCTTATCGGTTACAATTTGTACTAATACATTGAAAACACACATCCTTGCCCCCTGCGCACAATCACCGCCAACAATGGTTAAACTCCCAACCCAACCTTTCAACAATGGATTTGACAAGACAAACTATTGTTTAGGGCCCTTGTCGGTTCTATCTTGGCACCCAATTTTCCACTCATCCAACAGCCAGTTACATCCCGGAAAGCATGGCAAACCCTTGTCAACGCCTATGCTCGCCCAACTTGTGGCCACATTAAACAAATCAAGGAGCAGATCAAGAAAGCTACAAGAGGCTCTCAATCCATCTCCACTTATATGAAATACATAAAAACTGAACAGATTAGCTTGCTGCTCTTGGTAAACCACTGGAACATGAGGACATCATTGAGAAGATCTTGGAGGGTCTTGATGATGACTATCGCCAGAATGCAGACATCATGGAAAGCAGGGACACTCCCATATCCTTTGACGAGCTTCACGAGAAACTCATCAATAGGGAATTAGGAGCCGTTTACCAAACACTTATCTGGTAAGTGCTTATCGGTAAAATTTAACACTATTATTTACTTACCGGGTAAGATTTTAGTCTACCAAAACGACATTGTATGCAACAATTTACCCGGTAAGCGCTTACTACTTTGGTAAGAGTCGTCGTCCTCACTTACCGGGTAAGACTCTTGGTCATTGTCTCGCTCTTATCGGGTGGGATTTATGGTCCTTACCTTATTCATCCGGTAAGGTAATGTTACTTGGGTTAAACATATGTAATTGATTATCGTTGTATTTTCTAAAAATCCATACATGACTTATTCTCTGTCAATGATGTTCAAGTTCTTCAAAACTGAACTATATCGATGTTGAAGAGAAGTTAAATTGTAAAGTCTTATGTTCGAGAACATACATGATTGATAGAAATTTGATTGTTCCAGTTAAATGCGTTTGCTCTGAAATCTTCGATTTAGAGGGGTTTTTATTTACGTTTTCAAATTGACAATTGTAACTTATTTTTTATTATGATATAAAATATTTGATAAAAAACTTATTATTAAGGATTAATGAACCGTTTTCCAAACGTTTATTCAGGTAATCGCTTATTCAATAAGATATTGCTATTACTTATATTACCTGGTAAGATTCTCGACCATCAAAAGAACACAATAACCAATAATGTTTTCTGGTAAGCATTAATCATATAGAGATCAAGACACTCACTTATCAGGTAGAATTATCAATTATTGTTATGACTTTTATCGAATAAGATTTTCGGTCTATGTCATGCTCAGCCGATAAGGTTAGTTACCGATAAACATGTAGTTGGTCAGTATTTAGTAACCGGCTCGTAAATATCAATTAATTTAGTTATAATTATACATTGGGGACAATGATAAGTATGTGTAATAGGCTCAAGAGATGCAGTGGATGTTTGAGATTGCTTATAAAAACAATTTATTGACTTATTCCAGTATGACATCGATAATACCCGTTTTTGAGTATTTTGAAAGAACAATTTATACCGATGCCAAACCAGTAATAAGAAGTTTTTAAAAAAGTTAAATACTAACACCCGTTTACAAAGATCATTTGTTATTTGAATATCGTAGGATCATCCGAAAACCCACCAGAAAAAAAAGGAGGAAGTAGCATGAGTAATACAAATGTCGGATAGCCGACAGCGAGATTAGGGTTAATTTGAATTTTGATTGGATACCAGGGTCAAGAACTGAACTGGAGTGAAGGTTGATGAAGAGATTGATCAAGGCAAATTACATATGATCCTCAAGAAATAGGGGAAGGGCTGCCATTGGTCTCCTTTTGAGCATTGGGGCTATTGATTTGCATATTATCAGCAACTGGGACTGTAATTTAATAGGGTTTTAGGTCTTCCGGTTTGCCTGTCGTCAATTGGGCACGAAGGAGATTGACCGCAAGTGTAAAACTTCCATTCTTGTTGAACCGAGTTCCGTCGTCATCTCAGTTCCGAGGTTCAACCCTAGTAAAATCAACAAATCTGTAAGTTTTCACCCGAAGAACGAAACCCTAATTTCCATATCCGGTTATTCTTACATTCTCCGTGTTCCTGGATTTGGGATTTAATTAATTAAATCATCATCTCTGCAATTCATTCGATTCGAGTAATCATTGCTTCTCAGTTCTTCGATTTAGTTACGGAGTAAATGAAATCCATATGTGTTTGTCTGTATATATATATGTAGTGTCTGATATATATATATACATATAGCTTGCTGTAGGGTTTTAAGGTGATGGAGACTGTACCTCTCAGGCACCCACCTCAGGTTGTCCCTTCATCATCACAAGCCTTAGGACATCAAGAACAACTTGAGAAACCTCCCAAACAATTCCCAACATACCTTGATACCCATAATTTATCTCCAAGAGCAAGAATTCTCTGTGAGATACTCGCTAGGGTTGCTCCAGCGGAGGTCGAGACCGCAATATCCGCCACAGGGATGAGCCCAGAGCCTGAGGTTGTAGAAGAAGTGATCAGGCTGTCTTATGGATGTCCTGCTGCCGTTGTGACATTTTTCAGATGGGTGGGTTTGAAGCAGAAGCATTCGCCTTTATCCTGGAATTTGATGGTGGATTTGCTTGGGAAGAATAAGATGTTCGAGCCAATGTGGGATGCTATTAGGTCAATGAAGCAAGAGGGAGTTTTATCGCTGACCACTTTTGTTTCTGTTTTTGGGAGCTATTGTGAGGCTGGGAGGTTCAATGAAGCTATAATGACGTTTGAGGTGATGGAAAAGTATGGGGTTCAACCCGATGTTGTCGCTGTTAACTCTCTTTTGAGTGCCATATGTCGTGAGGATTTTCAGATGGCAAAAGCAGTGGAGTTCTTTCAAAAAACCAAGACTGTAATACCACCAGATGGTGATTCATATGCTATTCTGTTGGAAGGGTGGGAGAAAGAAGGGAATGTGGGTAAGGCGAAAACTATGTTTGGGGAGATGGTGATTCGTGTTGGATGGAGTTCGGAAAACATGGCGGCTTATGATGCTTTCTTGAACACTCTAATTCAAGGTTCAGAAGCTGATGAGGCCCTTAAGTTTCTTCAGGTGATGAAGGGGAAGAACTGCTTACCAGGCTTGAAATTCTTCTCTAATGCTCTTCAGATTCTTATTAGGCAGAATGATTCTGTTCATGCTCTCTCACTATGGGATATGATGGTGAAGAGTGGATTGATCCCAAGTTTGATTATGTATAATGCCATGATTGGTTTGCTTTGCAACAACGATGATATTGTTAATGCCTTTCAACTGCTCGATTCAATGCCTTTCAATGGAATTTTTCCGGACCCTCTAACCTATAACATAATCTTCCAATATCTGATTACAAAGAAGAAGGTGCGGGAAGCAGGGAAGTTTTTCTTTGAGATGATTAAGAATGAACAGCCTCCAACCCCTATAAATTCTGCCGCTGCCATCTCAATGTTCTTCGACCGTGATGATCCTGAGATGGCATTGGAGATTTGGTTGTATATGAAGAAGGAAGGTGTTTCTCCCCTGGATGATAGTGCCAATGCTTTACTTAATGGGCTTGCTAGTATGGGCAGGCTGACAGAGTTGAGGAGGCATGCTGATCAAATGCTTCATACAAGAATTAAGATCTACGAGTCTACAATGGAGAAGTTGAAGATTGCTTTTCGTAAAGAGGGTAGAAATGGATCCGACATATTTGATGATCTTGATAGGAAATGGAGATCTTCGTAGAAGTCTTTCTAATGATTTAGGTTTTTTAAATACATGGATGGAAGAACTTTCTTGATTCATGAACGGGTATAGTTTTTAATGACTTGTCACCTGCGTTATCTGTTTTTTTCATAGAAGCAGTTGTTCTCTCTTAATTATTCATCTTTTCTTCATTTCGGGTTTGAACTTCATGATTTACTTCTGTGGTCTCTGTTCATTGCTTCTTTCCATCTCGGCCTTGCCTAAAAACTCGACCAGAAATTAGCTTCTTTGCTGCAAAACACGTAAGTTTCTTTTGTGCCTAATGTGCCTATCCTAGTGTACCCTTATTCCAGAATGATGCTATAATAGGAGTCGATGCTAATAATCTTTTCCACAGCGTCTTTGGCAAACATGACGTAATATGCAGTGGTTTTACAGTAAGTGCTTTTTTTGGCCATTTTGTTCTGTAATTACTTGCAAGTTTCAACTTTCTCTAATTCCATAGTTATTCGTTTCCGGTATAGGGGAGCAGGATTTCACCTTGGAGTCCAAAGTCTTGGACAAGAATGCCCTTCTCGTTTGACTTTCTTAAATCACGTGGACCCTGTCAAGATGTTGAGTTGTGCTTATAGCTGATATGAACGCTTTGTATTTCCCTATATGTTGTTAACTATAATTACCATGGTCATATATGTACCGAGGTTGAGGTGGACTCAATGGTCCTACACTGCTTCGAGGGTAAGTAAGTGACTAAGCTTAATTATGACGTAAGGCCTAGAGTGCATGCCTCTTATTATTGCCCACATGTAGAGACTGAATGACTTGCTAATTGATCTCTCTGTGTGTGCGTACATATATGCATATATAGTGGGAGGTTCAAATAAGAAGGCTAAATATTATGAGAAGGTAAGAAGGGAAGGTTCATATGTGAATCATTGAAAAATTCCATTTGAAGATGCGTATGTGAACCCATATGAATATTTTGTAACGTCGGTTGACATATGCATTTGAAGCAGATTTTTTTGGATTTCTTCAATGATTCACATGTGAACCTTCCGTTCTTACCTTCTCACAATATTTAGCCTTCTTATTTGAACCTTCTGTTCTTATCTTCTCATTATGAATAACACAATGATGATGAATTTGGGAGTGTTATTGGTCATGAATCACACATTCATGATGAATAAAACATATATATTCATGATGAATATGCCACGTGTGTGCTTTGGGTGGTCCCGTGTACCTAATTAATTTTAGGTTCCTAATGAACCTACACCTATTTTGTAAGTATTCATGAATATCTATCACAACATTCATCATGAGTACTCACATAAATGGTGGTTCCTAAAATATTTAAGATTTCTAAATTAACCTCCCTCTTTCCCTATATATATATGTATTTAGTTTTTGTATTCCATTAGGATTTTCTATTTTTGTCCATTAATTCATCCTATACTTTGTCTCCTTTTGCTTTTTTAATGACAATTTAGATACACATAAAGCCTCATTCAAAGGACATTAAGGGGCTGTTTACCAATACTTACCTGGGTAAGTGCTTACCGGCAAAATTCAAGACTATCAATTAATTACCGGGTAAGATATTAGTTCACCAAAACGGTATCGTATTCAACAAGTAACCCACCTGGTAAGTGCTAACCGTGGTAAGAGTCGTCATTTTCACTTACCGGGTAAGACTCTCAGTCCTTACCTTAGCTCTTATTGGGTAAGATTATTGGTCCTTGCAATGTTGATTCGGTAAGGTAATATGACTTGGTAAGCCCTTACCCGAATAAGCGTTTGGTAATCGGCTTCTAAGAGTTCTTCGTCGCCTTCTGCCATCAATCAGTCATGCTTGGGCGGAAGTCCATTCCAGTTCGTCAAGCAACATACACAGATTATGTTTGAGATCACTAGTTTTCACTCATCAGTTTCGGAAGTTGACTTTTCAAAGGTACGGATGTTTTTCTTATTCGTCTGACTTGTTGATCCTTTACATCCTCGAATGTCATCATATGATGTATGTCTGTTCAGCGATTGTGTAATGATTCTTATAACTTATTTAGTTGTCTCTTATATTCGATTTTTGAATTGTGCTTGTAATCTCATGACACAGAGTCTAAACATGGTACTCCTGTGTATGTGCCTTTTGATTATGAAGAGCCAATTAACTGTGTATTATGTGTTGAGATAAGCTGTGACTTTGTGAGAAATGTTTCAACTTTGTCTTTTTGATGTCTAGGGCTATGTTCAGTTGAGTTATTGTTTAGGTGAGAATGGAAGTTATGGTGAAAAAGGTAAGAAGTGATCTCCACCCTTGGATCAATCTTCAGTGAAGATCAACACTAACGAAACGCATCAGATCAATTCTTGTGAGAAGTACAACTCATGGGATGGAGGTAAGATTAAAAGTGATCAAGGGTCCAGATCCCTTCTTGTACTTCTCATCTTAACTTCTATTCTTACACGATCCTTCAACATGTTCAGTTAGATCAACCATGAGCGGGCCTTTTGGCTTGCTTACTTGTTTAATTGTTTCACCGTTCTTCATCTTTAGCGCGTTTGATTGAGCCCAAACCTCTTGTATTAGCCCATGGGCTTGTCGTTTAATTGTTTTACCGATGAGCCTTTTTCATTGGTGATTTTGCGACAAATCACTATGGGCTTGTCGTCAACTCGTATCTTGTCATGTTTTGTTGACAACCAGTCAATCTATTGATAATCCGTCGTTAAGATTAAAATTACAGAAGGATTAAAAATTCTCAATTGAAAAAATTAGAAAAGCAAAAATTCCAATAGTTATGGGTGATCTTATTGAGCTTATTTTTATACAGCACTATTTAAAATTTTTGGAAGTGGTCATTTCAATAGCTAATCATGTTTCTGTTGTATTGAAGGGGTGATTTGTGGATTGTGATTAGGGGTGTAAATGATGCGAGTCGAGCTCGAGTATTAGTATACTCGACTAGAACTCGATAACCGTTTCTCAAGCTCGAACTCGACTCGAAAACTCGTAAGTAGTTAAAAACTAAACTCGATTGTAATTTTTTAAACTCGAACTCGTTTTAAGCTCGAACCAAGCTCAAACTCTTACTCGAATCATGCTCGAACTCGAACTCTAATAAAGCTCACCCGTCGAAATTTATGAAATTTTAAGGTCTTCTCTTATAAATTATAAAACTTAAAGGTGTTCTTTTAAAATTTTAAAAAACTAAAGGGATACACTTCAAACTTCATCATCAAACAAACAAGGTTACAAACTCCATTGACATACCTCTCTTTTTATAACAACTCTCCATCTTTCTTTTACTATTTCTTACAATGTGGGACAATTTCAGCAACACTTCTATAATTTTTTTTTTCTTTTTTAATTATGATTTTAATAAAAAAAATATTGATATAGTTTTATAATTAAAGATGCATAAAATTGTTCAAATATTTAAAAATATAAGACATTTTTATTACATTATAATATACATATTATATTATAAAAATAAAATATATACCGGATACGGGGGGAGTCAGGGAGACAATACCTGGCCCCAGCCCCAACCCTGGTTTGAGTCTACTGGGGATCCCAAGCCCTGGCCCCGGGACCCGTTTTAGCGGGGAATCTCGTTCCCTGTTTGGGTTGGGTGAGTCGGGTTCCCTACCGGGTCGAGGTAAATCACCATCCCTAGAAGCGTAAGAAGGGATCAGGATCATTGATCACACCTTTAATCTCAAACCAACCCATGAATCACACTTGATACGGGGATTAATTCGTCGCATCTCATCCTAATGAGCATCTAAGAGGTGGAGATCCCTTCTTACGCTTCTCACTTTAATTTTTCATTCTTACCGGAACCCTATCCTCTCTCTCTCTCCCTCTCTCTGTCTCTCTCTCTATATATATATATATATATAGAGAGAGAGAGAGAGAGAAGTTCAATTGCAAACCAATTTTTGGTTGTGAACCGGGGAAAAAGAAAAGTGCGACACGTGTCCCCGACATCCACATTCAGTATGAATAACAAAAGGCAGTCAATATGAATAAGGAAGGTGAAGTTCATGAACTATTCAAATGAATGATACAATATTAAGTATAAATAATACAATATCCATGATGAATAACAACGATCATGAATCCATGTTAAATTGATGCATTATTCATGATGGATAATACACATTCATCATGAATGTGTATTATTATTCATGATGAATAACCTATAGACGCAGAGGATATGTATCGTGCTCTCCTTTGTCCTCGTGTTCATAACTGAAACAAACTTTTCAATTGAACTCCCTATATATATATATATATATATATATATATATATATATATATATATATATATATA